GGACTAATCCATTGATGGGTTCATAATTTGATGGCATTAGGAGATGGAAGAAGCTAAGAGGTGGGGGCTGGATGGAGGAAGTAGGTCACTGGGGTGTGCCCTTGGTGCCCTTGAAGGGCACATCTTGTCCCTGGCCCTTTCTCTCTTTTTGCTTCCTGGCTGCCAGGAGGTGAGCAGGTTTCCTCACAAGCTCTTCTGTTACAATGTCACTGCCTCACCACAGGCCCCAAAGCCACGGAACCAGCTGACCGTGACCAAATCTCCCAAAACTTGAGTGGAAAGAAAGTTGTTTAACTCAGGTATTTTGTCATAGTAACAACGTGACGATGGGAGGTCCCACGATGCAGCCTTGGTATGAAGTGTTCTGCTGACTGAATGCCAACCCCAGAGGACAGCTGTTGGGTGTCATTTGTCATCTCACATGGAGCCTCCCGAACCCTGTGATTAGCACAGTGGCAGGCTCACAGTGGGGCCGTCACTTCTTGTGATGGACTCAAAACACTTTACTGAACACTTACTATGTTGAGGTGGTCGGCTTAAATCTCTTTTATTTTGGTAAGTAAAAGGCATGATGCCACCTCATTCGCCACTGGTGTGAATGTAGAATGACAAGACTACCTTGGAAAACAGTTTGGAGTTTGCTGAGAAGTTAAACACACACTTCCCATGCAAACCCACAGTTCTAGGTGTCTGGTGAATGGCGATGCACGCCCACACGAAGACTCCTGTGCACGGATGGACAGCGTTCTTCAAAACAAAACCTGGAAGCAATCCAACAATCCATGAGGTAAGTCAAGGAATGAAACGGGGTCCATCCATACAATGGAATTTGCTTCAGTTGTGCAAAGACACCACCAATGCCCACACAGCATGGGTGGAGCACGAGAGCTCTATGCCAGGCCAAGGAAATCAGACACAGAAGACCACGCACTGCAGGGATCCATTTCTGTGAAATTTCTAGAAAAGGCAAAAGTAGAGGCAGGAAGCAGATCTGTGAGTGCCTGGGGGTGCAGAAAAACAGAAATGGTCTTCTTGGTGGTGTGCAGGTGTCTTAAAGCTGACTGTGCTTTAAGACACTTGCACACCACCAAGAACTCAGTGAATACACACTTAAAAGGAGTGAATGAGCTGGCTGGTGGTGCATGCCTGCAATTGAAGTACTTGGAAGACTTAGGCAGGAGGATCACAAGTTCAAGGCCAAGTTAGGCTACATAGTGAGACCCTGTCTCAAAAAAAAAAGGGGGGTGGTTGTGAATGTTGTGCTGTGTAAGTTACATCTCAATGAAGAGACAGGACACAAAGCAAAATGACATGGTGCTTCTATTTGTGGGCTTTATAATTTAATTGGGAGCTGCAAGTGCAGCTTAGTGTGCACAAAATCCTGGGTTTGATCTCCAGCACCACAAAAGAAAAAGAAAAAAGATAGTTAGAATCTAACTGGGAAAGAAGGCAACTGGTAAGTAACCGGCAGCTGAGTGTAAAATTATGAACTCTGACACGTTCAGTTAAGGACTTGGGGTGACGCAGGGTTGGGAAGAAAAGGGGACATCCCTAGAGGGGGGCCAAGGAGAGGACCTAACAGAACAGGACAACAGGGAGACAGGCCGGTGGGGAGCGAGCCCAGCGTTCTGATCCTGCTTTGAAGAGGGTGAGCCCTACTTGTACATTTGTGGGGTTCACAAAGGGGTGGGGCCCAAGACCACATGGTGTGTGAGAGAGACGGCAGGTGTTTGCCGTGAGCTCCGCTGTGGTGTGCTCCTGCCACCAACGCCAGCACCAGATCGCACACTCACTGGCCAGCGTGTCCTGTCCAGCCTGCTGCTGCCCAGGACTGGGGCTGCGGAAGGTCGTGGAGTTGCCCGGGCACATGCTGGGAGAGGAGACGTAGGTGATGTCATGCTGCCCCAACAGCTGGGACCAAAACAGTGTGAGTCACCAGGCAGGATGGACTTGGGATCCCAGGATGCTCTGCCTAGTCCAGAGGCATGGGCAGAGACCACCAGGAGAGCCACAGGTTCGAAGGGCACCTGCCCACCCTCACCGTTTCTCCTGTCCAGTTCCCTAAGGCTCCTACGGGCCTCGCAGGTTCCTGGGGACTGATCTGGATTGAAAACCCCACACTGTCACCTCCTTGCAGCACGAACTCCAAACTCTGAGCCTGGCTCTCCTGCCTCCGGAACGAGAGTGTGGACACCACCGGTAGGAAAAACAGATCTGGGATTAGAACCTTTGTCTGCTCAGCTCCACAGCCTGCTCAGCTCCATCTTGCTAGGTTGACTGGTGTCTTGTGGAGATTTTATAAACTTAGGGGGCTCTCCCCTCACTCAGAAATTTGGGGTCAATTGACTTGAGGTGGGTTCAACTATCAGCACTTTATTTTGTGGTACTGGGATTTGAGCTCAGGGCCTTGTGCTTGCCAGGCAGGTGCTCTACCACTTGAGCCACACCCCCAACCCTTTTTACATTAGTTATTTTTTAAATAGGGTCTCACATTTTTGCCCAGGCTGGCCTGGACCACAATTCTATTTATGGTTTCCGCAGGACTGGGATGACAGGGAGTGACAGCAAGCCCAAACATTGCTTGAGATTGTGTCTCTTGAACTTTTCCCTCCAGGCTGGCCTGGAACCTCGATCCTCCTGATCCATGCTGGGATTATAGGCATGAGCCACCACGCCTGCCAGGGCTCATCAGCACCTCTTGGCAGTCCTCCAATGGCATGAATAGCCCAGCAGGGTTGTAAATTTCTGATATGACCACATCGTTTTACAAATGAGACTGAGGCCCAGAGAGTCTGTGTGACCCAGTCACAGGTGGCTGCAGCAGGAGTCTCCATTCTCCCCTCCACATGAAAGGATGGCGGGGCGAAGCCCAAGGCCACAGCGAAGGACAGGAGCTTTAAAACTAGCTTGCCTTGTCACTTACATGCTGTGTGACCTGGCGACAGTTGCTTCACCCCTCTGACCCTCATGATCTTCACCTTTTCTTCTGAATATATCCACAAACAGGACAGGATTTGAAGCAGCTTGTAAGAAACAAATAATTGTTTAAATCCCTACATTTATCAAAAGATTAAAATAATAGACAAGTTGTCTCATCTCAGTTGGCCCACTTGGTGGCTGTGTGACCTTGGATAAGTTGTTTTGTCTCTCTGAGCCTCAGTTTCCTTATCTGTGAAGTAGAATGATAATGGTACCCATTTGTAACTAAAATAATACAGAAGAGTGCTTAGCACATTGCCTGGTATACAGTAGGTAACTAATACATCTCAGTCAGGGCTGGGGGTGTGGCTCAAGAAGTACAGAGCTTGCTTAGCATACATGAGGCCCTAAATTCAAATCCCAGTACTGAAAAAAAAAAGTTATTAGGATAATTTCTCTCTCTCTCTCTCTGCCTCTCTCTCTCTCTGTCTCTCTCGTTTATAAGAAAGTCATCTGGATAAAACTGACTCACCTTCAGGCCAGTCTCGTCCCCCACCCCTTGCCCCATATGAGAAACACCAGTTCCTCCTTCCGAAAAATATTGAAAAACAATTTAAAATATTTATTCAATTCTTTCGTAAGAGTTGGAGGGAATTTCATCCATCATCGCATAAAAGTTCCCCAAATTCCCTCCCCTCTGCTTTCTGTCTCCTTCCTTCCCTACTGCCCCTCACTCTCCTGCTCACCATCTCACACAGCCCGGAAGGGGGCCCCCAATTCTGCATCCGGATCCCTCCCAGGCGCTCTTCCTCTGCCCCCTCCCCCTGTGGCCTCTGCTCTTTTCTAGCATCTTTCTCTCTACCCTCCACAAAGTTGGTGGCCCTCAGGGTCAAAGGAAGGGGTGCAGGTCAATGGTGGTCTCTCTGTTGACAGAGCAAATAGAGGCACAGGGAAGTTTGCAGAGGGCAGCGGCTAAGGACTGGGACCGTGGCCACTTCTTTGCAGTGGCATTCATTTCTGCACTGGTTATTTGACCACTGGTTATTTATGTATTACACCTGAAATAAAAAAAAAAAAAGGCTTTTTTTTGCTTTGTTGTGTTGGTGCTAGGGGTCAAATCGGTCCTCTCAGGGCCTCTCACAGACAGTGCAGTGAGTCTGCAAATGCCAACAAGAAGCATCAGGATGCCAGTGAAGAGGGAATGCCCACAGAGTGCTGTGTCTCCTTGGGCAAATCACTTTCCCTCTCTGAATAGTGATTTTCTCACCTGCAGTATAGAAGTGGAGTGGGTATAGAATTGTCAGTCACCAAGATAATGGTGAAGATAATAAGTGAAGCACCTACCATGTAATAATGGTCTGGACATAACAACTGCTCAGCTCATCTGGGTTTCAGAAAAACTTTGGAGGAGGTGATTGCTGAGGCTCCCCAAGGACTTGGTAAGGGTCACAGATGGCAGGATACCTTGTGTGCCTTCCCTTGAGTGGCAAAAGACCCAGGATCACCTCTCCCAGAGCAGCCTCGGCCATTACATTGGGAACCCTTGGCTCTAGTTCTGATCCTGCTGCCAGCCTAGTGAGTGGTTTGGGGCAGCTTCCCCCCCCCCCCCCCCCCCCGCCATCCACCAATGTGCCCCTTTCAGAATCAAGAAAGGCACAGCTTTTCTCCTCTGCTTTCTTCACGGACCACACCTAGGGCCACATCTTGCCATTGCTCTGTCCCCAAGACTCAGCCCACCTCCTGCCCCCATGATAGAGCACTCCAGATTGCTCATGGTACATGTAAATAAAACATAGTCATGATACCTGATCTTTCTTTTTCTTTTTGGAACATAGCGTTAGAATGTAACAGAAAAAAAGGCACACAAGAGACATCTTGACAATTTTTCACAAACTAAACACACCCATCTTGTGTTCCCAGCCCTGACATCATGAAATAGCCTAACACCAGAAGCTTCCCTGGTCCCCTTTTGAGCCATTCCCTCTCAAGGGACATGAGCCTGACTTCTGACAGGACAGATTCGTTTTACTTCATTTTGAACTTTGATAAATAGAGTCAGTGGTCTGTGGGTTACAAAGTACACACTATGAATGTTATTAACTGCTCAAATCTTCACATCAGCAGAGTCAGGTGGACAAGAATTACGAACTCTGTTTTGCAGAGGAGAACAATAAGGCTCAGAGAACAGAAGAGAATCTCACAACCACATAGCTGGCAAGCAGAGAGCCAGGACAACTGGGTTCTGTTTTCACGTCTCCCTGGATGGATCTCAGATTGTCCATTAAGTGTCTTGAGCAGTCAGAAATGTGAAACCAGGCCAGGCCAGCTGATGGGTATAAGTTCTGCATCCTGCAGGAAGGAGAGAGGCCCCCCATGTGCCCACCTGCTGTCTTCAGCATGCTTTGTGACCCTCCCCTGCATCCTTCCCTCCACAGTAAAGAACTAAGAGTGTTCCATGTGTACACGGCTGAGTTATCTACACGGAGTCGTCCCCCCGCCCCCCTGCACCCAGGCTCCTCCACACAGGTGGCCCTCTTTGCATCCTGACTCTGCTAGGACCTTCTCTCCCCACATGCCTGGGGGCGCTCAGGGCCAGCTCCTGGACAGGGGCTGCAGCCACCTTTCTCCTCTTTCCTCCCAGTAGTAAGAACCCACTGCCTCTACAGCTGACCCAACCTCGCTCCCTGTGGTACTAAGGCAAGGTTTCCCTTCTGGACTCACCAACTCTTAGACATCCTTCAAAACCCAGATCCCAATTCCTCTAGGGCGTCTTTGTCTCTGTTGAATGTGGACATCACACACCTACATATTAGTTTTTCTCAGCACAACATAAATATGGATGATCACAAGTGCCACACCACAAAGTCACACAAACAAAACACACACGCTCTCACTACACACACAATGTTGTCATCTATGTCACAAACTGGGCCACAAACAAAGTGGTACCAAATCATAGCCATATTCCTCTCGTGTGTGTCTGTATGCATGCACACACACACACACACACACGCATACACACAAATAGAACCACAAAAAACACAGGGATTTGCTCTCTACTTGTTTACAACAAAGACACAAAGTCTCCTTTCTTTGTTTTTTCTTTTCTTTTCTTTTTTTGAGACAGGGTCTTGCTATGTGGCCCAGGCTGGCCTCTGCCTCCAGAGTGCTGGGATTACAGGCATGAGCCACTGCCCCTAGCTACAGTCTCTCCATCACATACACACACATGCACAACACGACACAAATGCACACCTCACACAAAGAGACACACGTTTTCTGTTCTTTCCTCCTACAAAACTGCACCTACACAACACGCATGCAGAGAGAGGTAGACATACAAATGCACATGCCTGGCCTCCTCTCTGCGCCCCTCCCACCCCTTCCTTAGTCCCTCTCTCAAGTGTACACACACACAGTGACAATCCCCAGATACAGTCAGTCTCCATCTTTCCTCCACACCTAAACACACAGGCATGCGGAATCCATCCCTTCCCCCTTTTCCGTCCCCTCCTCTTCGCTCTCCTCCCTCTCTCACACACAGCTGCAGAGCGCTGGGTCATGCTCCAGTGCAGGCGCCAGGCAGGAGACAAAGGTCGCCGAGACACCAGGCGTCCCGCACTGGACACAGCTGAGCCTCTCCCCGGTTCCGCCTGGCCCCGGAGCAGGTGTCGGCGAGGTCTGCAACCTGCACCCGGAAGCCGGAGGCCCGAGTCCTCGCCCGCCGCCTGGGGTCCCCAGGCCGCCCTCGTCTCCAGCGCCCGGCGCGTAACGGGTTAAGGAGCCCGCGGGGGCGGGGAGGAGTCCGGCCTCCGCACGTGATTGGCTGCGCCGCCTGGGCCCTGGCCCCCGCGCTCTGCCATTGGTCCGCGGTGGGCCCCGCCTCCCTGGGACTGGGCGCCTTAGCAGCGCGCTCGCCCGCGGGGAGCCGAGCGCGCCACCGGGTAGCGAGCCGCGCTGTCGGAGCAGAAGCAGCGCAGCGCGGCGGGGCAGGGGAGCAGAGCCGGGAGTCGGAGCCCGGAACTAGAGCCGCGAGCTGGGCAGAGCGGAGCACGCGAGCAATGGTGAGTGCAGCCCCTAGCCCACCGACTGTCCCGGTGCAGCCTCGATGGTCCCCGGCGGCGACGCGGCGATGGCACCGGGGCCGGCCGGGCTCGCGGGGGGCTGGGCGTCGCTGCAGCGGCGGCCCGCGCTCCGCACTCGGAAGGCGTGGATTCTGGGGGCGCCTGGGCACGGCTCGGCTGGCGGGACGGCGCTGCGCTGGATGCCATCCGCGGCGGCCGTGCAGACCTTGATTCTGGGCTACTGGCCTGGTTTGGGCGTGGAGGACTCGGGGGTGGCCGGTTCGTCTAAGGGACAGTTAGTACGGTCCGGGTTGGGGTGTCAGGGAAACCACCCCCCGCCCCGCACCTGACTTGGCGTAGAGATCTTGCACAGCTGGACTGGGTCTGGATCGTGGGTGGTGGCGATTCCGAGACATCAGGGTCCAGCTGGACCTGAGCGTCCCAGAATGCTGAGGTTGGTCTGTGGTTTGATTTGGGACATCGTGGGTGGCGGAGGGCTAGGTTGGGACGCTGTGGGACTGCTGATCCCGCTGTGACTTGAGGAGGTTGTGGCCGGGTCAGCGGCTGTCAGTGATCAGGAGATGCTTGGGGGTCCTACGGTCCGGTCTTCTCTGCATCTCCCTGTACTGAGTCCTCACAGGAGCGGCCAAGTGCTGACGTGATGGGCAGAAAGGGGGAGGAGATTTCACGGGGGTCTCTGAAGCTCGGGGAGGAAAATCTATTCCACCCAGGCTGGCCTCAAACTTGCAATCTTCCTGCCTCCCCCTTCCAAGTGCTGGAATCACAGGCATGCGCCACCACACCCAGCTCAGGCTGGGCTTCTTGAGCACTGTGGGATGGGGAGTTGTCTCTGGGACCCCACCTTTCCAGGACCTGGTGATTGCCTCTTCATCACAGGGACAAGAGGCCACCTGCTTCTCTTTGGCTTCTTTTCCCACAGACAAGATTCAACCCCCTAGTCAGGGTCTGTGCCCAGTGCACTGGGTACAAGTCACCACGTAGGGCCTGCTGAGAGCAGTGCCGTTCCCAAGGATGCAGCCACCTCCACTTTATGATGCTGCTGCCAGGCCTCAAGGGACTCCAACCCTCACCATCACCCTCTGAGTCTCCTCTTTACTCCTCTAGAGAGTCATAGCTTAATTCTACACTTGAGATGCCTAGAGACCATCTTGGACTCTACCTACCTCCTCAGTTAAGAATCTCCCAAGTGCTCTGCCTGGACAGGTTCACAGCTGTACCTGTGAACCAACACTTGATTTAAAGTCTTAGTTTGAGTAATAAAAGGAAAGACTTTGAGGAGAGAGCATCCTTTCTCTAACCCACCCTGACCTAAGTTACTCAGAAAGAGGACTTTGTTTCCTCCTTAAAAACACAATGAGGGGGGGACTTAAAACACACACACAGTAAGGACTGGGGGTGTGGCTCAAGTGGTAGAGCACTGACTTCAATCCTCAGTACCATAAACCAAAACACATCATAAAAGCCAGGCATGATGGTGCACATCTGTAATACAAGCACTCTAGAGGCAGAAGCAGGATTTTGAGTTGGAGGCCAGTTTGGGCTTACATAGTAAGAGACATCTGAAAGAGAGAGAGAGAGAACACTCTGTTTGTGTGTGTGTGTCTCACCCTGCCTTAGTGACACTTTATAGAGCCTTATACCTGAGTCCACCAGGAAGACCTCAGACAGAAGCTCCAATCCCAGCTCCTCCCTTCCCCACTGGGACTTTGATCAGGTTACACCATCATGCCTGGGTGGCACCTTCCTCATTGATGAGCTGGGATGATAGTTCTTATCTCCTAGGACAGTGTGGGGATTGGGTGAGATAACTCAAGTGAGTGTTTTGCTTGAATCCTGTTTAGTTTTCTTTCTTACATCCTTGAGCTCAAGTTGGGAAGTTCTGCCTAACATCTTATCTATTTACTGGTCTGGAAGAAGGATTAATATATATTGGCGCTGTGGGGAGAGAAGGGGAACATGCGACAGAGGGAATATTTCATTTATCATTCAGCAGAGATTATAGAATGCTCACTACGCCAAACCCTGTTCAAGGGCAGAAAAGTCTGACATAATCCCTGTGTCGATGGAACTCACGTCAGACCATAAATGTCCACCATGGTCCTCTGGCTGGTGGCATGTCTTTAGGAGAGGTGGAGATACCACGCCAGGTGAGGGCTCCCTTCTGGCTGGAGAGATGAAAGAAGGCATTGTTGAGCAGGTGGCACCTGAATTGGGAAGAAAGTCCAAGGGAGGAGGACCGGAATGACATAGGACCAGAGGTGTGAGAATGCAGGAATTCTCTTTGAGAGACCAGCCTGGACTGGCCTGGCATGTGGGTATGAGGGAGCCAGGAGAGAGAGAGTGGCACGGGAAATTGCCAGAGCCCCAGAGCGAAGTCATAGGGTGCACGTGTGAGCAGGGTGCAGGGTATCATATGCTGCCTTGGCCTCTGTCATTTCAGTTTCTCCACACAGTCTCTGTGCCATCATAGCTGAGGTGAAGCGACTGGGGACTGCTGAAGTGTTTATTCCCACTCTGCCGGGGTTTAAACAAACTCAGCACCCTCTGTCCCTGCAGTGGGCCAAGTTCCCCTGACCCCCAGATTCCTGTGGGGGCTCCTTGGCAGACATGTGGGCTCTTTCCTGTTGTCCTCGCTGGATCTCCCTGGTGTCCCCACCCAGGTCTCTAACCCCTTGGCAGGGAGTCCAAGCTCTGTCTTTTGTTTTGTGGTACTGGGGTTTGGACTCAGCCTACGCTTTGAGCCACTCCACCAGCCCTTTTTTTTTTTTGTGCATGTGAGGGTTTTTCTCAAGATAGGGTCTTGTGAACTGTTTGCCCAGGCTGGTTTTGAGCCTCAATCCTCCTGATCTCTGCCTCCTGAGTAGCTGGGATTACAGGCATGAGCCACCAGCGGCTGGTCCACGTTCTTAAAGGCCTCCATGGACACCCCATCCCTGGCTGTGGGATGAGAAGGCTTTTTATATTTCCTGCCCCCTTCTATCCTCAAACAGTTGGCAGAAGGCACAGAGAGGTGAAAGTGGTTGCCCAGGGTCACAGAGCAGGCAGGAGCTTCCCAGATGTTTGGAGAGTCAACCAGGCAGACAGATGGGAGAAAGAGACCCAGTCCAACTTCCCTCTCTACCCTTGTGGTGTCTTGAGAATGTTCCTTCACATTCCGAGTGGGGGATGGGGTGGGGACTGAGTTTAGTCCACAGCTGGGAGTTGGGAATTATCTTGATGGTATAGTGGTTGAGGTGAGGATGGGATCTAGGCCTCAGTTTGAATCCTGATGTACCACCAACTTATTGTGTGACCGTGGGTCAACCATGTCCCCTCTCTGTACCCCCCCCATCCCACCTTTTTTTTTTAACCAAGCTTGGCAGATTTACTCCCCTTCTTGGGATATCATTGTGAATGTACAATGAACATAGAAACACTGAGGAAAGAATTAAGAACACAGGTGGAGTCTTACTGTTCAAAGATGGGGATGCCCCAGCAGTGCTCCTGCCTTTACCCACTTGGAACCAGACTCCCTGCCCTGGGCTTGTGCTTGTAACCAGGTTGTTCACATTTCCTTGCATTACTACAGTTTTAGGTAAAGAAGGATGTTATTATCTGGGAGCCAGTGGCTCACGCCTGTAATCCTAGCTACTCAGGAGGCAGAGATCAGGAGATCAAGTTTTGAAGCCAGACCAGGCAAATAGTTCCACGGACCCTATCTGGAAAATATCTAACATCAAAGGGCTGGTGGAATGGCTCAAGGTGTAGGCTCTGAGTTCAAGCCCCAGTACTGAAAAGAAAAGATACTGTTGCCTTTTGTTAAGGAATAAATATAGTTTCCCAGACAGAATTGCAAACTCCACCCTGTCAGGAGGACAAAGATTTGAGGAGGGTGGAGCTCCAGGTGGGCTCTGCAAAAGGTCTGGGGCCTCAGTTGAGACACACCCAGGTTGGCTGAAGCTCACACTTCAGTGGTTACAGGGAGGACTGAGGACAACACATGCGTGCACTTCTGCCCCATTGTTTTTAACTTCAGTGGTCTAGGTAAGCACCCAGCCATTGTTAAGTTCTTCAGTCACTCATTTACCCTATGTATTTACCCTATGCCTGGGGCTGGGGTCAGTGTGGATGAGACCAACAGGTCTCTGCCACAGTCTGACAGGCAGGCAGATGTGGGCAGGAAATGACAAGTGCAATTACTGTTGCCATGGAGACATGCAGGGTGCCTGGGGAGCAGATAAGGGAACTTGATCTGGGGATCAGAAGAGGCTCCCCAGAGACGTGACGTTTTTCATGTGGCAGCCTAAAGAATGAATGGGTGGAACCAGAGGGGGCATCCGGCAGAGGGAGCAGTGTGTTCAAGGTGGGCAAAACATGGACCTCTGGGATGAGCTCATGTGGACATGCTGGGAACAGTGCTTGGGAGGTGGCCAGAGCTGATGAACTAGGGGAGAGCCATGGGAGGAACTTGGGACTTGATCCTTAGGGCAGTGGGGAGCCATGGAGGAGTTTAGAGCGAGGGAGTGACATGGTCAGATTCTGCATATCCTGAGGCTCTTTATAGAGGATGGTAGGAGGGTG